GCCGCGCCTCCGGGCGCCTCGTGTGCGGCGCGGCCAGGAGCGGGGACCGCCGCTTCCCCGCGTCCGGGCCTTCCTCCCTCTTTCCGTGTCCACATTCCTCTGGTGTCCAGCCCTGGTGCCGCTTGAGGCCGCTTCCCCTTGTCCTGTAGGCAGTTGTTGCAGGGAAGAGGCCGAGCCCGGCCTCACTGCAGCCTCCTCCCAGGTAGTTGTAGAGAGGGATGGGGTCTGCCCCGAGCCAGGCACCATCGCTCCCTGATCCTTCTCCGCCGCGCAGCTCTCCATGTGCCCACAGGGAGCGCAGAGGGAAGATGAGGTGTCCTGTGGACGTGGCTCCATATGGAGCGGGCAGACCTGGGACCCTGCGGCTCAGCCCCCCATGGAGCAACGGGATGGGATCTGGCACGATCGCAACGGCGGTGCGGGAGGCTGCGGGCTGGCCGGGCGCTCGTCGCTGCCCTTCCTGTTGCATCCCTGGGGCAGCTGGTGCTCCAGGGGACGGCACCTGGGGCTCCGGGGCACATCCCTCCTCCTCCAGGACAGCACATCTTCCCTGTTCTGCCTTGTCATTGTCCTGTTTGGAGAAGAGGGACGCAGCACGTTATCTCCACAAGGAAAAGCCTCGCAGCAGTTATCTCCGCGAGTGGGGGAGGTTGTTTTCAAGCGGGCAGAAAGCACGAGCTGCAGCTCAGCCTCAAGCCGCTGCCTCCCGGCCTGGCTTAYGGAAAGCGCATTGATGGACTGCACAGAGCAAAGCTGGGCCTAAAGCCCAGAGCCCACGTAGTGCAGATCCTGGCTCAGCCCAAGGCTTCTGCTCCCAGTAACTTTTCCTGAGCCTGGCTGGAGGTGATGGAAAGTCACCCTGTATCCAGCCATGCTGCTCTTGGTGAGGTTGCTAAGGGAGGCTCTGTCCATCGGGCAAAAGGGAAGGGTTTGGGCATTCATTTGGGTTTGAAAACCACACTTCAGGCCCTGCTGAGCCCCGCAGCTYGCACACACACTGTGCTTGTGTGTCCAGGCCCAAAGATGGCTGCAGATCTTAAAATCTGTCCCCAGTTTATGCCCAGGTGACTGGTCTGGATTCATTCTGGGGGGGCGTGAGGGAAGCTGGGGCAGGGGGTGCAGAGAGCGCCAATACTGAAGCGTTGCTGTTTCCACCCCGCTGTGAGCAYGGCCTGCCCAGCAAGAGCCTCCCAACTTTCAGAGCTTGGCCTTCACTCGCTACGTGCTGCCAAGGTCTTTGTGCCGGGACAGAAAGTTTTGTCCTCAGTTGTGGGCAGGGCGAGCATCCCGCTTTGCACATTTTCCGCTGCAAACACACGTGCCTCTTGCCGTGCTCTTGTTTGGTTTGGCCYCACAGAGCCCCTGCATTCAAGGCCCAGGTTTTCACTCCATAAACCCGCTCTGGCCCCATGGCGAGGAGTCCTCGCAGAGGACTCGCGCGGCGGGCGGCCAGCAGCGCGGTGTCTGCTGCACGAGCACACCCAGGCCGTCTCTCACAGCACAAGCCTGCGGGCACCCCCTGCCATTTGGCTTGGCCCGCTGAGCATAGCCAAGCTGAGCACCTGAGCCTCTTTCTTCTCCCTTCGTTTGCGTTGTTAATTAAATGACCTACTAAGAATCCCCATAGCCAGTGGTGTCTGCGGGGATGAGTGAGGAGGACACCGCTAAGGATGTTCTCAAGGTGCCCCACATAGGCAGATTTTGGGTTGGGAGGTGCCCTGTTCTGTACGTAGTGATATGTTTGGTTTGTCTCCTCCGTTTCCACTGGTGACGTTTTCTGTTGCTGCTAAATGCGGAGTGTTTAAAAGCCACGAGGAGGGTGCCAAAGCAGACCCTTTCACACGGTGCTTGTTTGCTGCTGCTCTTGGCTCCCGCTCAGAGCCCGCCACCACATCAGGCCCCCTGGATCCCTTGGGGATGCACCTGTTGCCACAAAACTTGGGAGAAACAGCTCTCCTGGGAAAGGAAACAAAGCGAGCGGAGCAGCAACATGGCCCAAATCCCCAGGCAGAGCAGGGGGAATTCACTGCGCGGAGCTGGCGGYGATGGCTGCAGGGAGCTGGGAGCAATGGCACCTGCCCCAGAGGTTGGGGACGTGTCTGCGCCGAGGTGGGCACCCCCGTTCCGGCCGAGCTCCCCAGCACCGAGGCGGCCAGGGCGCCTCTCGGGGCTCCTTCCCCGCCGCAGCGCGGGGGGCAGCCAAGATGGGGGGGGGGGGGGGAGTGAAGGGGCGGCCAAAATGGCGCGCAGGGGCGGGCAGGCGGCCAAGATGGCGGGAGGCCAGCGGGCGCTCAGGTGGCGCGGGCCGAGGCACGAGCGCTGCGGGGGCCCGGGCAGGGGGCGGCGGGCGGCTCCTGCCCGCGGCCGGCGGCGGCGGCACCGCCTCCCGGGCGGGCTGCAGCCCGGAGCGCGGCGGCGGGAGGCGCTGCCCGCGGCGGGACGCGATGCGGCTCCGCGGCGGGACGCGGTTCTTCCTCGCCCTCTGCGTCTGGAGGCTGCTGCCGGCACGGGACGCCGCAGGTACCGGCGGGGAAGGGCTCTGAGGCGGCCGCTGGCGACCTCCCGCCGGCCCGTGCCCGGGCTGCTCCCGCCGCAGCGCAGCGGTGACGGCCCCTTCCCCGCCGAGAACCGCGATGGCGGTTTCGGGATGCCCCAGCCCTCTGCGAGGGCGAAGGGCTGCCGCTCCCCGGGCGAAGGTGGCGGGTTGCCCCCGTGCCGTGGTGCTCGCCCACGCAGGACTGGCTGCGGAGCAGAGGGGGGCCCTGCCCCACGCGCACCAGGTGCCTCGGGCGCTGTCCTGATGTGCTCCGTGGTTCTCGCCCAGGAAGCGGGTTCAAAAGCAGGGGCACAGGGACTCTAGCCGGCAGCTGGATAATGCCAGGAGCGGTGTCCCACCAGGCAGGCGCCCTTGCCCCATGCGGGGCGCCGGGAAGGAGCGCTCTGCTGGCACGCGGTTCATGGCTCCCGAGTGTTGGCTCGGGCTGCTCCTCCCGGGCACRGGCAGGGCGAGCGCTGGCCGGGGCGCCGCGAGCAGCGGGTACAGGAGCGCCTTGGGCAGATCGTCCTGCTTGGCTCCTCTGCCACGGCAGTGATACGCGTGATAGCTAAGCAGTGATAAGATAAGCGACCGGGCCTTACGACACACCAGAAAGTTGTTATTTCTTGTTTTGGTGGCACAAACTGGTGTTAGTCCGTTTCTCTCCAACACCGCCATCCACCTTTTTATTTCCCTGCACAGGGAGCGCTGCGCTGCAGTCATCGAYGCCTGCAGAGGTTCAAACGGTGGGGCTCGTTCTGCCCTTTGGCTTGGATAAGGCTGTTTCTGCTGTAGGGTCCAAGCCCTGCTTGTCAGGGGAAGCAGGTACTAGGGATCAGAGCCAAGGAACGGCAGAAGGGACATTTCCAACATTATTGCCGTGCTCTCGTGGCTCCCAGGAGCAGAGTCATGGGCTGGTCTTCTCTTTTTGAATGCTGTTTGGCTCCCTGAGCAGTGGAGGGATGCGGCTGCTCRGGAGAGAGGAGCACATGGTCTAGCAAAACATGGGGTGAACATGAACATTGCTCTGAGCATGAAACCAGACTGTTGTCGCTGCCGAACCTGAGTCACCAGTGCTCTAATACGGCTTGTGTTTGGCTTCCTTGTGTGACGTGTGTCTCGCCTATCTCTCTTGGGCAGGGACAGCCTAGTGGTGCTTTCCTCTTTAGCCTTCAAAGCCATATCCCTCTTTCTGAGCACGTGTGCTGAATATTTTTAGCTGCTCGATTCATCCCAAAACAACTTGTGCTAAGACAAGCCCCACAGCAGCAGCAGCTCTGAAGGAGTTGGAGTYAATGGTAAAGGTGTCCACACTAGGACCACCAGAGCAAAAAGGAGTGGGAAAATCAGGAAAGGAAACTGGATGAAAACCATCAGGAAAAGGGGAATGGCTCGAGCATGGTCATGAAGCACAGTGAACACAGCAGGTTCCTCAAAACAGCTTTGCTATTATATCATGAGATGGAGGGGATGGATCCTCATCAGATGGAGCCTGTTGGCCTGGTATTGTCGAAAATCTCCTGATCAAATGACTGGGTGTTTTTCCATAAAGTTTGCTCACAGAAGGGGTCTTTGGAGCTTCCTTACATCCCTAATGCTGTCCTTGTTTTGCAGGAACAGAGGAAGTGGTCTATGGGGAGGTTGGAGGAAGCATCCTCCTTTTGTGCCGAAATGTCTCCAAAGAAGCAACTGAAGTGGTTTGGTTTCAAGGGGATCCCCACTCAGTCCCCCCGCTCTTCTCCTCAAAAGTCACATTCCCCCAAGACGTCCGGTTCTCCCTGGTTGACAACAGCTCCCTGCACATCACAGGACTGCGCCTGCAGGATGAGGGCAACTACACTTGCAGGGAAGTGCTCAACAAAACAGACCATGAACACAGAGTGCAGCTCCTGGTAGCCAGTAAGTCTATCTCGTGTCTGGGAATTTCTCCCCTGGTTCTCACAGGTCCCCTGGATTGCAGGGAGTCTGGTGCCAGTAGATAAATAGTCTGTGAAAGGGGAAGGTGGTACAAAACCTATGAGTGAGTTGGTTTTACTCCTACCCTCACACGCATTAAGACCAGTTGTCCAAGTAGCCTGGCAAGAATCACTTGTTTGTGACACAGCAGAGGAGACCCCAGCTGTTAAGTCCTTGCTACATCTCTTAAATTATTCTTGATTGGTGACAATAAACCAGRTTTGGGCAGATTTTTTATGTATCCTGTAGCTGTTCTGAGATGGCCCTTCGCCTCTGAATTCAGCTGACATCAGTCTTCCGAAATCTTAGACCTTGGGCAGCAGCCTGGCCTGTATTCTCTCACTTGGAATATATGGTTGAAATAGATGCCTAGAGTCTTTTCTCTGTTGAGCTAATAGGAAAAGGAACACGTTATGCTGTAGACTTGTCCCACCCTCCTGGTGTGAGGATGCAGGGTCTTCTGCTGACTGGCTGCATCTTACCGAGTGCAGCCTTCAGTCTCAACACAAATGTTGTTTTCCTTGGATTTGCTGTTAGGAGCCCTATCATATAATCCTTAAGGCTGGAAGGGACCTCTAGAGATCAGCTAGTCCAAGACCCCTGCATATGCAGGGTCACCTAAAGCACATGGCACAGGTTGGCAGCCAGGTGGGTKGTGAAGATCTCCATTGAAGGAGACCCCACAAGCTCTCCAGGCAGCCTGTTCCAGGGCTCTGTCACCCTCACTGTCAAGAAAATTTTCCTTAAGTTCCTGTGGAATTTTGGTGCTTCGGTTTGTGGTTGTTTCCTCTAGTTCTGTTGGTGGCCACCCCTGAAAAGAGGCCACCCGCTCCTCCTCACTGCGTCCCATGAGGTATTTATAGACACTGATGAGGTCCCCTCTCAGCCTTCTCTTCTCCAGGCTGAACAGGCCCCGCTCCCTCAGCCTTTGCTCCTAGGGCAGATGTTTGAGGCCCCTGATCATCCTCATAGCCCTGCGCTGGACTCTCTCCAGCAGCTCCACATCCCTCTTGTCCTGGGCAGCCCAGAACTGGACACAGTCTCCAGATGTGGCCTCACCAGGGCTGTGTAGAGGGGGGCGATCCCCTGGGAGCACTATTCTGGGAATACCAGCACAGGCCATTTTTTAACCTTTATCGTGACATTTCTTCTGGTGCTCACACACATTTCTGTTTCTATTTCATTCTTTCTCTTACAAATCTTTACAATGTGAATGGAGGATCAGCTTGGAGAGCACTACTGGGCACCACTTGTCCCATCAGAGCAAAGCCCTTCCTGCTTCTGCCAAGGAGTTGTTACCTTGCCAAGATGCCTCATCTCTTCCATGGAAAATCCACCAATAAACTAGCAGGGAACGCAGGTCCTAGGCTGATACTCTTGTTGGCACCCTCAGCAAGTCTAATCAAATGTGGTTAGACTCTGGCCCCTCTGACTTGGACTGTGACTTGCTCTCTTTTATGCGAGCCCAGTCCATATTCCGGGAATTTGAAGAGGGAAAAACCTGCTGTCTGTCTCCCTGTATCGGTGATACTCTCTGTTCTCTGCTGGCCTTTCTTTCTTGCTGATCTTTCTGTCAACACCCTCAGCATGCCAGATCCTGGCTTGGTTTTCTGTTTGCACTCGGGGTGTTCCTTCCTTCTGAGTGTTTGGTGGAATAAGGGTGTGTGTTGTAAAAGACTGGGACCTGTTTGATCCGGGTTAAATCTCTGAAAGTTCAGACAAGTAAAAATTCTTCTCTTGGGGCAAGGAATCTGCAGATAGAATTAGAAAGGGTCACAGAAGACCGGAATGAAAGAGTTGAACCTTGAGGTGCTTCAGAGAACTTCTAGGCCTGGGGCCTGCAAGGATGGAGCCCAAAGTCTTCAGCAATGTTACCAATAATCACGAGCAAAAGTAGCAGCARTGTCACCATTACTGACTGCTTGTGGGTATCAAGCAAAATCTTGGAGCTTTTCCTTTACTGCTGGAGTGCAGGTCATGCTGCATAGGAACCTCCTTGTGAGATTACAGTTCTTAACAGTTGACAGTCTCCATTCTGTCTAATGCTGCATGTTCTTTTTGCCTTCAACTGTCTTAAAAACCAACTAAAAATAATCAAACAGGGGAAACCTAGCAACTTGATGGAGGCATAGCTGAGGTTTTGAGCATCAGCCTGTGTTTGCATTAGATAGGAAGCACATGGCATGAAGGAAATGTATAATTGCACATTTCCCTGGGGAGATTTCCTGGTATGTAGTATTATATAAGCCACCGTTGGCTCTTATCTGGCCTCAGGAAAACACAAATGCTCCTGCATGCAGAGGTTGCGGTTGTTTTGTTTGATTGCTTTTTGTTGTGTTTTTTTTTATCTGATGATGCAGGCTTGCAGGTTGCTCTTACAATCACAGCAGGAATTCAGGATCCGTTGCAATACCTCCCAGAGGCAGAAGATGTGAAAAACTTTCTTAACAGAACTGGAATGCTCAGATCATATAAGATGCATGTGCAGCTGATGGAAAGTCAAGCCCTATGAAGAGATGAGAACTTTCACAGTCAGGTCCTTTTCTCTGGACATTTGTTGAGGAGGACTATGTCATGAGGAGTTAATTTTCCATTTAGGCATATACAGCCCGTTAACTTGTGTATAATCAGTAGCATGCTGGAGATTTCATTCTTCTCGTGTTTCAGCTGCTGCCCTCATGCCTGACTGTGAGCTGTTGCTTGGTTTCTGTGCATCAACTTTTGCTTGTGCCTCAGGAAACCTAATCTTCCTGCAGGACTTCCTCAAATGGCCTTTACTGTTTCATCTTCCCCATCCACATCCAGACACAGAACYGCTGTTCAGGAGTGAGTCTCCTCTCAAATCCTGCCCGTTGCGTGGCCTAGACTGGTTGGGATTTAGTGGAGGCCAAAGGTGGGTAGGTAGATGGGCAGGAGGGAGGAAGATGCTTCTTTGTGGCTTCTCCCCTAATGCCCCAGGTTAAAATAGTCACCGTCCCCTTCTTTTCCAGTTTAGTATGTGGGGCTTCACTGCCTGAACTGCACRTGTGGAGGAGGTGACATCTCTGCCCTGCTCCAGGCAGGACAGCTGTGAACGAGGTGGGCCAGTGGGGAGAAGAGCTGCATTTACTGCAGGTGAAGGGCTGTGGTAACTGTGAACACCATTTGGGCTGGAATGGGCAGCCGTTTAGGGCTGCTTTTCTCTGTAACCAGTCCCCAGGTCAGACACACCTTAGTTAGAAGCTGCTTTTTGCTTTTATTATTCCTGGCGCGTTGTTTTTTTCTTGCCATGATTTTGTTTCCTACTCTACGTTCTGTCATCTCCTGGATCATTTGAATAAGCACCCTGCAAAATCAACATCAGATGTCCCCTTGGCAGCTCCTGTTTGGGGCTGTTTGGCAGCAGATGGTGTCTCGGGGAAGTCTTGCTCATCTGGCTTGCCTGATTCTACCCTGCAGGGACCCAGGTGTTGTTTCTGCCAGGGTCAGAGTCCAGAATCCCTATGGCTGTTAAATGAACACGTGCACATGTGTGTACAGGTTATAGTTTCAGTACCAAGACTGTACTCATGGTCAGGATTATAAGGAAACCAGATGATGGAAGGGAGGCAGGAATGGAGAGGCTGCTTGAAATTGAGCTGACGTCCTGCGTTAGCCCTAAAAGGGGYCCCTTTGGGTTTCTGCTCGTGTCCAACCTGCCGTCATTCAGCTGTTTCCATATTTAMATAACCAGTGGTGTTGGCTGTGGCCGGTGCTGGGCCCTGGCAGGAAGCCAGCCRTGACTTTGCCTCCGTGCTGCGTGTGCTGGAGTTTGTCCCCGCTGCCGCGGTGTGCTGTGGCCACGGGCTGCAGCGCGTGGCTCGCTTAGCCAGTCTGGCCTCGCTCGGCACCCGCCGCGTGGGTGCAGGAAAGGGACAGGGCGGCCTTGGGTCGGCCTCGGTGTCTGATATCACACGCTGGAGTCCCCAGGGCTCCCTGCACGCACGGGGGACCTGGCACGTTCGGAACAGCCTCCTTCATCCACGCTGTGCTGGGCTGGGTGGGAAGACAGTCTAGCTTTGGACTGGTGCCTCTTAGCTGTCCGTTACTCATCTGTGATGCGCTGGAAGCTGCCGGTGGTAGGTGCCACCTAACCCCGGAATAGATGGGTGCCATCTCATGGATGTGGTTCACATGGGACCTGGCTGACCTTGCCAAGCAAGTCACTTGTAGGGAATGCTGAGCCCACTCTGGCGGGACTCTTTGGGGCTCAGGGATTAACACTAACTCTTGGGTTTGTCCATTTTATCCATTATGGATGCACATCTGCCTTCCCCTTCCCAGTGACCCCAATGCAGTGACTGTCAGCATCTCCTCTTTGGTGGCTGCCTCCTGCCACCCSTTTTGTGCAGGGCGAGGAGGTGTCAGCCTGCAGGTTTGTGCTCTCATTCCTTGTCATTGTCCTCAAGCTGCTCAGCCTTGGCAAGAGTCCTGAGGTCTTCCAGGATCCCGTGGGCAAACTGGAGTTCCAGTTTCGAGGAGAGCAATGGGGAAGGCAGAGCCTTGTTCTGGTGCGGTGTGAATCTGTGTCACTCGCTTGTAGCTGGACACAAGGATCAGGGCTGTGTTGAAATGCCAAGGGCAGCACGGAGATTTTGTTCTCCTGCTGTGTTTTTYAGATGCTTATCGTGACTTTCTGGGACACGACCGTGGCGCTTGTGTGTTCTCCCCCCTGTTGTAGTCCCTGGAGGCTTGGCCGTGGCTGCTGTGCTGCCTTTCACAGAACAGCCCCTTGCTCGCTCTGCGTCAGCTTTTGTTCCAAGCTGTGCTCCCCTGGGGGTGTGGGACACAGGGCAGGAAGCAGGATRAGTGGAGAGGCCAAAGAGTCTCTCAAGGGAAGCAAAGGCAAAGCGAGCGCATCCTGAGGTGCCAAGAGCCGTGACCTGGGAGTGTTTCTAACCACGTGCTGCCCTTGCTCACAGGTGCACCGCGGTCGTCCCCGAAGTGCTGGGCTGGAACCTCCTCCTCGGGACAGATGCTGAGGCTGTTTTGCAGCTGGCCTGGGGGGTCCCCCCACCCCACCTTGCACTGGAGRGAAGAGGGGGGCGATCTGGAGAACACGAGCTGGGTCATCAGCTCCACRAGCTCCGCCGACGTCCACGTGGAAACGCTGAACAGCTCCCGCCTCTCCCACGGCAAAACGTTCAAGTGTGTCGGGAGCCACGTAGTCAAGCAGGAGCAGCCTGCGTGCACCGTGCAGATAAGTGAGTCGGCTTGCCCGCTTTTTTGGCTATTAACGAGCCTGCTAATGAGGGGGCAGGCAGGTGCCCTGCCCTTCTCTGCCCTCTGCCAGGCAGGACAGCCTTAGGGGCACTTGCTGCAGGGGGAGATGCAAGGAGGGCAGCGTGGCAGGGTTTGGCTGGGGCAGAGGTGACCRCACAGGGCACACAATCCTGCAGCCCAGGAGCGCCTGGTGTAGTTGCAGGTGAGTCATATGTTTGGATACGTTTTCACAGGCTGACAAATCTGCTCCTTGCACCAAGGTTCTGGCCTGTGCAAGTGCTTGTGCCTGTGGCCAGGACGGAGAAGGTGACAGATGATTTTAGTGAGTTGGTGGAGATGAAGTTTAGCAGGGCTGGTTGGTTTTGTAGCAGGAGGGTTGTCTGTACTCAGACCCGCTCAGGTGTCTTAGCAGCGGTGGCTAAAGTGGCTTTTGAAAACCTGAGCTGTGTTTGTCCTGCAAGGGTTGTCAGAGCTAAGCAAGGGCTCTGCTGAACCAGTGGAAAGTCCAGTGGCAGTCTGCTGGACTGCCTCTCCTCTCACACCTTCTTGTCCAGGGGCTGGCCGCCCTCCAAGGAGCCTTCTCTGGGGATTTCAAGCCAGGGGGCCAAGCCAGCACCGAGTGGTGCGAAAGGAGCTCAGACTGCTCCTTGGGGGGACGCTGAAGAGTCCTGGGAGTCAGYTGAGGGCTAAGCCTCAGTGTTTGGCCTCCTGTGTGACTTCCTTCTGTTAATGATTATTAATCGCTCAGATGGCTGATAGCTTGCTGCATTAAGCTTCCCCGTGCCGTTCTTGACTCTCTTCTCCCCCCTGCTATTCAGAGAGCCCTTCTTTGGAGTCGGAGCCCCTCAAGACCTGCTTTGTGGGTGACAACGTGACCCTGACGTGCCRCGTCACCGAGAGCACCCCGGCTGCCAGGCTCAGCTGGCTGCAGGGCACTGCCCAGGCGGCGGCGGAAATCCGGCCCGGAGGGAGGCACCTCATCACCCAGGAGGGCAACGTGTCCCGGCTCACCATCCGGAACTGCTCCCAGGACGTCGACGGCGGCTGCTACATCTGCAAGGCGCAGAACCCCGTGGGGCTCAGGGAGGTTTTCGTCTGCCTCACGGTGAAGCGTGAGTGGGGCTGCCTGGCATCGGGGTGGCAGGGAAGGAGGAGACGAGGRCACAGATAACAGCAGCCACTGGAGAGCTCCAGAAATCCACATGCTTGCAGGATGCAGCTGCACGCACGGGTATGGGCTGGAATCACACAAGGCAGGAAGGCCTGATTCTCCTTGCCTTGGTGTGAGAGGCCTGGGAAAGGATTGCAGTCACATCCTTGGTTTCTCTAAGTTGTGGGGACAAAGATGCATCTCTCCAGGCCAAGYTGCTCAATCCCAGCAGCTGGGGCTTCGTTTGCTTTCACATAGCACACGTGACACAAAAATCAAGGGTCTTGCCGTGTTGTTTTCCATCTCAGTGAGGTGTGAGCTCCCATCGTGCTGGTGGGACTGCGGCAGTGATGGGAAGCGGAGATGGAGGGGGCGTTTGGGTACCTGCTCTGTCACTGGTACCGAGTGCACTCCTGTCCTAGTGACAAGCAAAGCTCCTCCCTGCAGGGCCAGTGAATATAGTTGGGATCGTGGGTGCCGTGGTGGTGCTGGCCCTGCTGGCTCTTCTCGTCGTCTCCGGCATCATCCTGTACTACCATCCCCTGCTGTGTCTCGGAGGTAAGAGCTCGCCTCAGTGCAACCAGGGAGGGGCTTCTTCTCTATTGGGGTGTCCTGGTTTTATCCCACAATTTCAAGGGCTTGCTTGTCCCTTCTGGCCTGCTGGAGTCTGCCACCGACTTGGATTTCACCCCATTCTTGGTAAAAACCCTAACAGTCCTGGGGGTAGATGGGTTGGAAATGCAAAGCCCTTCTGCAGTTGAGTGTTCCAGACTCCTTCCCTTCTCCCTGTTCTCCTGAGACCTGTACTGTGCCAGAGTAACCCTGTCCTCCCCTTTACCTGTGACACCTCTAATGGATCTGATGTGGGCAGGCTGACCGCTTTCCCATCCCAGTGGGGTGGAGAACCACCTTTCCATCCATTCTGCTGCATGGGACTGCTGAAGGTCATCCCTCTGTGGGCAGGATAGACGGAGATGGTACAGTAAAACCAAGGGTGCTTTGCCTGAGGGGCTGCTCGTGGTTTCTAACGTTGTCTTTTCTGTTTTATTGTCTCCTGTTTAGGTACTGCATTCAGGTGAGTGTCAGCTTTTCCCAACGCAGTCCTTGCTGAACTCGCAGGCATTGTGGCAAACACGTCCTGCCTGTAGGGATGGTGCTGGCAAGGCACCCGCTAGTGTGGGAGAAGGCTGTCCAGAAGAGCTCCTTGGGGCAAGAGAGCTGGGAGGGCTCTATTCTGAATGTCTCCTTTCCCCATCTATACAAGAGGGGAAAGTAACTCCGCCCAGGAACTGCTCTTGAATTTTAGCCCATGAATATCTGTGAAACAGTTGGAGGACACTGGAAGGGAAAGGGGAAGCAGTACAGATTGGTGTTGCCACCAGCAGGGTCCAAGACCTGTTCTTCAAACACRATTAGTGCAGGATGGAAAAGTCCACCAAAGTCAGTCACATTGATGCATAGAACTAGCAGAGCCTGGAGGGATGGGGTCCCAACAAGCTGTCTTCATCTTTCCAACCTGTCACTACTTCCTCTACTCTTCACAGAAATCCAGACTCAAGCGATGTCTTAGTGCTGGTGGACTCGGAAGATGATGATGAGGGTAAGGAGGAAGAGGAGACAACGGGCAGCTCCACCAAGCACGAGGTGATGGCGCTGGTCAATGGGACGAGCATGCAGCCTGCTTACCTCAACCACCTCGCAGAAGGTGAGCGCTGGTGCCTGCTCCCTGCCCGAGCTTGGGGGCTGGAGTCATCTGCTCTCTTGCTAAGCTGCAGGTTTTCCAGAAATACCTGCCAAGGGAAAGATGAATTCCTCTTCCATGCCTCACGGACTCTCGTGACACTGCTGCTCTGTGCCCTGTGCAGGTGGTGATGGTGAACAGCACAACAGGGGCTCGCCGCAGGAAGCAAGGAGAGAAGACGCACCAGTCACGTAGTTTCCATTCCTTTTTGTGGAATTGCGGAGTGCTCCATCTGGAAGCCCAGTTTCAAACACATCCTCATTRCCATGTGGCTGAACCCGGGTTGTTAGGTTGTACAACAGACTGGTTTGGTCAGAACATCCCCACTTCCTTCTCCGCTCGTCCCTTTCCTGGTTCTCGCTCTATCCTTCCCCAACTTWGTTTCTCCATTTCTGTCTGTCTTTGTCTTCCTCTTTGTCTCAGGTATCYTTTCTAACTAGGTGGCATCCCAGGGCAGGCAGGGCTCAGGAAATGGGTYCCCATATCCTGCTCACCTTGATGTCCCTCATCAGTACGGGGTTCTGGTCGGCCACCATGAGTAATGCCAGGGTTGCAGGGATCCCCATGGAGAAAGTCMCCTCGAGCAGGGTGTCCCAGGGCAGCAGGAGGAGCTACTTCTGTATGGCAGGACATGAGTGATGCAGACTCTCCAGGGAGGCTTGATAGTTTTTATTATAAATATTTTTTTCTCCAAACTCATCTGAAATGTTGCTCTATACCGAAGTGAGGGGAATTCATCGGTACTGTGCAGTTTTGGTGGGGATGGCAGGTCACAATGCAAAGCACAGAGGGAACCAAGGGGAGGAGGAAAAGGGGATCGGGTTGACCATGGAAGGAAAAGGAGGTGAGTAGGGCAGCCACAGAGGGAACTGCAGGGATCTGAGTGACAGAGGGAATTGCTGCTGGAGGGGAGCAGAGAGGTCTGGGGGAAATTGGGATGCATGGAGGGAATGGAGGCCAACAGCACGGATTGAGCGGGACTGGAGAGAATCCCAGCACACACGTGGGTCAGAAGGATGCATGTGGGGAAGGGAGAGGATCAGGGTGCAAAAGGAGGGATACGGAGCTTGTCAGGATGTATGTGTGGTGGGTAACAGGGAATTGGAGGGGCTTAGTTCCTGAGCACTGCGCGGGAATGGAGGGAATACAGGACACCAGGGAAGCAGAAAGGAGCAGTGTTTGCAGACAGACTGGGAAGGGACTGGCCAGGTGGGTGGGAGAGCTGCTTGGCTGGGTTCAAGAGGAGTGGGGATTGCACCGAGTGCTCGGAGGATGGAGGGGAAGGGGGTCCCACACCCTGCGGCAAGAGGGGAGTTGGGTGCATGGAGAGCAATGGTGCGGGTGTGAGCACAGGCAACTGGGATCGCCCCGGGATGAAGGAAGAGATTTAAACACGGGGAGTGGGTGGGAGGTGGAGGGCAARGGAGGCCATCGGAAGGCACATGGAGAGGCGCGGAAGGGAACTACGTGCCCACTGTGGGCGAAGTGGAGGGGTGCGAGCCCACAGCTGGGCAGAGGAGAAGAACAAGAGTGAGGAGGCTGAGCTGAGCTGAGCAGGTAGGGAGACCATGGGAGAGCTTGCGGGGTCTGCTCGGGCGCAGAGCCCTCGGGAGGGCAGCGGTGGCCGAGGAGGAGCCGAGCGCGGCCCGGGGGCCTGGGCCAGGCCGGGCGCAGAGGCAGGTCCCTAGGGCGGGCTGGGGGGTGGCGGTGCTCGGAGGGGTATGGATGGGACGTACCCTAGCACAGGCTGAACGCTGGGGAGCATCGCGGAGCACAAAGGGACACGGAGCAGCCGGGGACGGTGGGGATGCAGCCCGGGGCTTTGGAAGGATCCCTGGCAGGCCCCACAGACGGAGCGCTGTGGCCGGGAGGGAGCCAGGCTGCCGAAACGGCCCGGGGCCCCTGGCAACGCTGTTGTGCTGCCGTCGCCTTGGCTGCCGCGCGCCGCGCTCCTCCGCGCCCGCCCCGCGCCCCGGGCGGCTGCCGGCATGGCCCTGGACCTGGAGGAGGATTTGCGGAGAGCGTTCCGGGACAAGCTGCGCCTGCAGTGAGTGAGAGCCCGGCTGCTGCCCGCGGACGGGCCGGCCTGCGGAGCCGAGTCCTCGGAGCTGAGACCATTAAGCCGCAGGGTGGCTGCTCTGCCGCCGGCCTGGGCTCTGTGTGGGCACCCTGGGCCGGGGCCATTGCAGGCTGGGCTCCTGCCGGGGTCACGGGGAGGGAGCCAGTGTGGGGCGGAGGG